AGAACCAGAGAGCATACGCGCGTGCGCACACACACCCAATTTAAAATGTAAGTGCTCAAAGCCAGTCTTGGTGGCTCACACCTGTGTTTCTGGAGGTAATGGTCGTAGGATCTCCATTGAGACCAGAGTAAGGTTCTATGTGTAAAACTTAAAAAAAGCTGGACATCTGTAGTTCATTCTAACTACTCCGAGGGATCAAAGTGTAAAGCCAGCACAGGTAGAAAAGTCTGGAGACCCTATCTTCAAAATAACCAGCAAAAGGCAAGGTTGGAGATGTGACTTAGCTAAGCAAACACACTGAACATGAGGCCCTGAATTCAAACCCTAGCCAGCATTCCCCACAATTGTTTTTTAGAGGACATGGGCAAAGTTCAACTGCTAGAGTACTTGCCTAGCAAGCTCAAGGCCCAGAGTTGAATTCCAGTATTGCTTAAAACTACACAAACAAAACAGGGTCTTCTGCTTGTACTAGAAATTTGATGAATTTACCAAATACTTTTGGTCAAGAAATCCAGAGGTAGGAAGTCTAGAGTTGGTATGGTACTTTCACAGTGCTGTTCAGGAGATAGGGTTCTTCTGTTTTCTGCCGTATTTAGTGAGTAGTTTTTTTTTGTCATGCCTATAAGTTGGTTGCTACGCATCTTCATCCATGGTTATATTTTCATACATGGAGATTAACTACATAGACCATACCCATCCTCCTTCAGCCTGTTTCTTAACCCTCTATGCTTCTGTTGGTGCCCACATCCAAGCTTGTTTATTTTCCTGTCATTTCAAGTATGTATCAATGACACCAATGGGTTTCACTATGGTATTTCATGGTGTGCAAATCTTAGGTTTTCCTCAAAATAACCTTCACTATTGCCTTCATGCCCCCTATCAATGATCAGCTGTCACTGAGATTGAAACATCTTTTTCAATGTCCAGTCATATTAATGGTAGTACTTTGTGTGTGTGTGTGTGTGTGTGCCAGTCTAGGGTATGGGTGCTATCCTTGAGCTTTTTGAATCAAGGCTAACACTTTTGAGCCACAGCTTCACTCCCAGCTTTTTGGTGGTTAATTGGAGGTAAGAGTCTCATGGACTTTGCTGCCTGGACTGGTTTCTAATGGCTATCCTCAGATTTCAGCTTCCAGAGAAACTAGGCATAAGTAACCAGCAGCCAACAGTGATAATACTTTAAAGTATCCTGTGCAAATATCCATATATCCTACAAGTTACTTTTTTTTCTCTAAATTGTTTTGTTTACCTTTTTTTTTTTTTTTTGCTAGTTCTGGGACTTGAACTCAGGGCCTGGACAATGTCCCTGAGCCTCTATGTGCTCAAGGCCAGCACTGTAGCACTTGAGCCACAGCAGTACTTCGGGCTTTTTCAGAGTAGTTTACTGGAGATAAAGAGTCTCAGAGACTTTCCTGTCTGGGCTGGCTTTGAACCAAGATCCCCTCCCCTGGCCGTTTTTTTTTTGGGGGGGGAGGGAGTCATTTTTTTTTTTGTCGGTCATGGGCCTGAACTCTGGACCTGGGTGCTGTCACTCAGCTCTTCAGCTCAAGGAGAGTGGTCTACTGCTTGAGCCACAGGGCCACATCCTTTTTTTTTTTGTATAGGGATTAAACCAAAGGCTGCTTATGTCATGCACATGCTTTACCACTGAGCTATCTTTTAAGTTATTTTTCTTCAGGGCTCCAAGAATTCTTGATCTTCTCATGTTTATGATTGAACTAAAAAGCTGACCAGTGGCTGAGTGGGGCTTAGAAATAAGCTTCACTGATAGGCTTCTTCAATATCATATCTTTGGGTCCCCCCCTGCCCCACCCCCCACTCGTCTTTTACCAAAGCTTGACTCAAGTTTATTGGAAGAATCTCACAGGGACTTTTCTGCCTGAGCTGGCTTCAAACTGCAATCTTCAGACCTCCTGAGAAACTAGGATTACAGGTGTGAATTACCAGCACCCAACTTCAATGGCTATTTTATATTTTATTGTTTTTATTCTTTTTTATTTTTTGGGGTCCGGTCGTGGGGCCTGAACTCTGGGGCTGGGCGCTGTCCCTCAGCTCTTCAGCTCAAGGCTAGCACTCTACCACTTGAGCCATCAGCGCCACTTCCGGCTTTTTTCTTATGTGGTGCTGAGGAATCGAACCCAGGGCCTCGAGCAGGCAAGGCAAGTGCTCTACCTCTGAGCCACCTTCCCAGCCCCATCAATGTCTATTTTAAAAGATCTGTTGGGGTTAAAATCCTTAGACACTACTCTCTTGCTTAGATGATCAAATTCTTGCTCTCAACATCTTGGGAGCCTACAGGAGATTGTGGATAGAAGACTGTGGCAGGGGATATCATAGCATTCACTGTGTATATGTGGCCCCTAAATGTGCATTTTAAGGCCCATTTCCAGTAATATTACTGTATCAATCAGATACTCAACAAAAATGTCAAAGCCCTTTGGATATATTGAGAAGGGTACAATATACAGCTGTATTTATGTAGGAATGAGCAGAGCAAAGGCGAACCACAAGAAATAGTTTTGTGGGCTAGGAATGTGGCGTAGTGGTAGAGTGCTTGCCTAGCATGCATGAAGCCCTGGGTTCGATTCCTCAGTACCACATAAACAGAAAAAGCCAGAAGTGGCCCTGTGGCTCAAATGGTAGAGTTCCAGCCTTGAGCAAAAGAAGATCAGGGACAGTGCCCAGGCCCCGAGTTCAAGCCCCAGGACTGGCAAAAAACAAAAACAAACAAATAATTGGGGCTGGGAAGGTGGCTCAGTGGTAGAGCACTTGCCTTGCCTGCTCGAGGTCCTGGGTTCAATTCCTCAGCACCACATACGAAAAAAGCCGGAAGTGGCGCTGTGGCTCAAGTGGTAGAGCGCTAGCCTTGAGCTGAAGAGCTGAGGGACAGTGCCCAGGCCCAGAGTTCAGGATCCACGACCGGACCCAAAAAAAAAATTTTTTTTAATATGAATAGGAATGGAAAGACAATTATTCTTTATTAAAAATTGCATAGTAGCTGCTGGGGAGGAAATTTACTTTTTTTTCTTAACTCTCATGAGTGCTGACTTGGGATGCTTCCTTGTAACAAAAACATATTAACAACAGAAAAGCATATTATCAATAGAAAAGCATATTAACAATAGAAAAGTGTATTAACTGTGCCACGCATATCTTTCAGGGGAAAATACAATGAAACTAAAGCAGTATCTTAAAACTCTTCATTTAAGCTGGTTGGGCAGCAGTAGCTCATGCTATTTAGGAAATAGTTTCCAAGTCAGTCTGAACAGAAAAGTCAGAGAAACATAATCTCCAATTAACCAGAAACAGGTGGAGATATGGTTCAAGTGGTAGAACACAAGCAGTGAGCAGAAAAAGCTGAGTGAAGAGTGCAAGGCCCTGGGTCCAAGCCCCAGTACACAGACACAGAAACAGAAATAGACACAGACACACACAACCAACCCTCCACAAAAACAACAACAACAACAAAAAACCCTGATTTACGTAGTACCTTCAAAACAACAAAACATTTGCAGAGAAAGGAGAGGACAAGGAAAAGTAATTCTAAGGGTGAGGAACTTTGGGAAGATAAATATAGACAGTAAGGTTTAGTCATATTTTTCTGGTACTGATGCTTGGTTCTACTCTTATTTCAACTCTAGTATTGTCTCCAGTAACAGAATTTATATCCTACCTGAAGACAAGGATAAAATTTTCCTGTTTGGTGCTTCTTCACTGACTTCAAAAGACGCTTGCTTACATCAAAGAGCTGTATTTGGGAAGGCAAATTCTTTTTTTTTTGGGGGGGGGGTCCGGTCGTGGGGCCTGAACTCTGGGCCTGGGAACTGTCCCTCAGCTCTTCAGCTCAAGGCTAGCGCTCTACCACTTGAGCCACAGCGCCACTTCCGGCTTTTTTCTTTTTGCTTATGTGGTGCTGAGGAATTGAACCCAGGACCTCATGCATGCAAGGCAAGCGCTCTACCACTGAGCCATCTTCCCAGCCCTGGGGAGGCAAATTCTTAAAAAAAACAAACATACACTGAGTAGTCAGTGTTCTCTTAGTATTGATTTTTTTTTCTTAACAAGAATCTGAACTTACACCTTTGTAAAATTTAGACAACAAATCACTTATTCTCTACAAATGCCATTGCAGCATGTCATACCTGGTAGCAGAATTTCAGTTGACTGTAGCTGCACATACCAGGTGTCTAAAGGCAAACTGTAAGGATCTACTAAGGAGCTTTGTCTTCTCCACTGAAAACAAGCTCATTGTATATTTCTTCTGTTTTTCCAGTAAGGTTTTTAGTCCCTGATAAGACTGAAATTCTGGGCAGCTACTGGCTTGTTCTTTAATCTGCTTCTGGTCATTCCACTTCTCTAAAATAATCATCAATAGTAATCCCCAACACACAGTGCTCTGAATTAACCTGCCCAAAGCCTTTAAATGTGGGAGAGGAATGGTTTTAGCCATCTGTCTTTCATTCCAAAGGCATTTTTCTTTCTACTACTTGAATAGCATAAAAGGATAATCGTTAATTCTATGCTCTCAAATAGGAAAAAAAGGTAACTCGTTCAAGTTATAACACTATTTTGAACATTTTATTAGAAAGAGTAACTATAAGAAACATTAAATAGCAGCTAGTATAAAAATAAATTTATTTTATTTTTTTGGGGTCCGGTCGTGGGGCCTGAACTCTGGGCCTGGGAACTGTCCCTCAGCTCTTCAGTTCAAGGCTAGCGCTCTACCACTTGAGCCACAGCACCACTTCTGGCTTTTTTCTTTATGCTTATGTGGTGCTGAGGAATCGAACCCAGGGCCTCAGGCATGCAAGGCAAGCACTCTACCACTGAGCCACCTTTCCAGCTCCATAAAAATAAATTCAATAAAACCATTAACTCATGATTTCAATGACATAGCATTGATTATAATGGTCAATGTAATCATTTTAAACCTGCATTATCCTCATCAACTATTTTAATAAGGTTGAATGGTAATGGAAAGTAAAGACACTAAAACAAATGTGCAAACGAACAACAGTATTTAATAGACTATTAACAGAAAACTTACCTATGGTATTTTTAAATTTAAATTTTGCTCTTTTATGAGTTATATGTGCTGAAAGCCTCAATGATTTCAGATATGACATATTAGCTAAATCTTGCTATGTGCATTTTGAAAACAATTATTTTGACAGATAATCTGCTTGTTCTAATTATATTTACTTAGAAAAGTAAACTGTTATTTTAAGGATAAATATTAAGTTACAAATGGCCATAGATTAAAAAGCATCACATTTTCTATAAAAGTTGAACAAGGTATTAAAACTGCTTACAGTGTATCACACCTAACCTCCCTTATTATTTTAAACAAATATGTAATATAGATACAAACACCAAAAGCAGTTAAGGCAGCAGAACTATATCATTAGTTAACTAAAGTAAAACTTAAGTCGTTTTGTTTATTCCTCATTTCTCAAAGCAATTAAACCACTGAGTAGAGAAATTTTCTAGCTACATTTTAGGTTATACACATGACCTTAAATGACTAACCTTGAGAATATAGTTTTAGAGGCACTTGTGTACAAACAAATTACATTCAAATGAAACTGTACACTTTTTTGGGGGTGGGGGAGTGGGAGAGTTATTATTTTAACACCAAACAGAATGGTAGACTGAAGTCAATAGAGACCAACTTTAGGCTGTTAGTGGTAGTGTCATTCCACTGGTGCTTTACTTTTGATAAAGTGCAATAAACAAAATAAATAAGCTTTGAAGATTTATATACAGTTCTAGATTAACTTACTAAGTATACTCCTTACAGCATATAAGTTCTGTGAAAGCTGTTGCATACATTAAAAGCTCTATTGACTTGGGCACAAAATTATAAAACGTTTCTTCTACAATACAAGGTTAGATAACAGAAATACTTATGTGCTATAGACTAAATCCAGATACAGTGAGGTGCTGAGCATTATTTCTGGCTTCAAAATAGGATGTGTCGGTTTCATCATCCGGTTGAGGAATGAAAGGCATAGTCTGATGCTGGAGATTTTCCCAATCCACATCATTGAAGAGAGGATGATGTTTCAGTTCTTAGGGGAAAAAATATGTGAGACAAAATAGGATATAGAATGACACACACACACACACACACACCTTTTTGGTTGGTTGTGGGGCTTGAACTCTGGGCCTGGACGTTGTCTCTCAGCTATTCAGCTCAAGACCAGTATTCTACTACTTGAGCCACAGCACCACTTCGAGTTTTCTGAGTGGTACTGGAGATAAAAGAGTCTCACTGGGCTGGGAAGATGGCTCAGTAGTAGAGTGCTTGTCTTTTGTCTTGCATGCATGAGGCCCAGGGTTTGATTCCTCAGCACCACATAAGCAGAAAAAAAAAGCCAGAAGTGGTGCTGTGGCTTAAGTGGTAGAGCACTAGCCTTGAGCTGAAGAGCTGAGGGACAGTGCTCAGGCCCAGAGTTCAGGCCCTACGACTGGACCAAAAAAAAAAAAAAGTCACATGGACTTTCATGCCCAGGCTGGCTTTGCACTGCGATCCTCAGATCTCAGCTCCCTGAGTAGCTAGTATTACAGGTGTGAGCCACCAGCACCCGGTGACATACATATATTTTGCCGTACTTAATGATGTGTCAATTTCAGAGATGTTTGTTTAATGTCTGTCTCTCTGTTAGGCTACTTACTTTACAAAAACACTCAGAGTGTATTTTGTGACCTGGCATGTGATAGGAGTCTGGTTTGGTATTTGTTAATAAAGTAAATGATTAGCCTTAACAGAAACAATCTCTCTCACTGCCTTCAATCTTCTCAACAATTCCTGACTTGAGAGAAGAGAGCCTATCCTGCTTCTTGCTCCCTGATTCACTTTCCAGTATACTGCAACCTTTAGCACAATCCCCCTAGATACCATTAGCAGGAAGGGGACCCTTTACTCTTATTTTCTTCCCTATGCCCCATCCTCTTTCTATATTTTCTTTGATAATGCTTTATTTCTTTATTGTCCTTTTATTCCTTTTATTTATTGTCCCTTCCTTGATTTTGCTGACTTGGATCTCTACAACATGGACCAACAAGCTGGAATCTTTACACCTTAGTACTTCTCTGCTTACAAGATGGCAAACTTTGGCCATTTTAAATACACTTTTGTTATTTGTGATCCTTCCTATTGCCTTCTGCTTACTAAAAGTATGTTCATATATTGGACTATACTGTGGTATTCAGTCGCTAGAAATAAACTCCTTTTCTCACTAGCCTCTCCCTCCCTGCCATCCTGTTGCAGTACTTGAGATGAAGCCTAGAATTAGGCAAGCTACCTCTCCAGACCCAGTCTTCCACTGTTGGAGGCAAGAGTAAAGGTATTAGCAAACAAGAAAGTGACATGGCCGTAAATAAGAAAATAACAGCAACAACAAAAAGCACTTAGGGAGAATATGGGAAAACAACTAACACTATCATTTGTCTGTTCTGGAGGTGATGAGTTAAGGAGACCTGTATGTTTGTAGTTGTTTTTATGGTATAGTAAGACTGGGATAAAATGACAAAAACAATTAACTGATAGGGAATATATATATATCTTCCATACACACACACACACACACACACACTTTTTTTTTTTTTTTTTGTCATGGAGCTTGAATTGGCCTGGGCATTGTCCCAGAGCTTTTTTGCTCAAGGCTAGTGCTCTACCACTTGGAGCCACTTCTAGTTTGAGTGGTTAACTGGAGATAAGACTCTCACAGAGACTTTTCTGCCCGGGCTGGCTAGAACTACAAACCTCAAATCTCAGCTTCCTGAGCAACTAGGATTACAGGAATGAGCGCCAGTGCCTGGTGGGAATATATTTTAATATTCAAAATAAGTAACTGAACATGGATTAATTTAAAAATTACTTTAGAGCTAGGCACTGATGGCTCTCACCTGTAATCTTAGCTACTGAGGCATGAAAGTCCAAAGGAAATTCCATCTCCAATTAACCAGACCAAAGAGTTGAAAGTATGGTTTAAGTGGCAGAGCACAAGGCAATGACCAGAAACAATGAGCGTGCAGGTCCTTGAGTTCAAGACCAGGAACTGGCACAAAAAACCCCCACAAAACTAGGGACCTCAGAGCCACAGTGGTCCACAGAATGCCAGTGCAGAAAACTCCCACGGCGCAGGACCTGGAGATAGAGACCAGAGACAACATACTGTGAAACCCAGACCCGGAGCTTATCACAACAGAGGGCGGTGGTGACCAGCGACCTACAGCGTGCAGACACAGCGATCTGCCACAGCACCACTGGACAGCCCTTAACCAGGATAAGTGAGTACCCCACGGGGGATACCCCCTCCCCCACGGGAGACCAGCGCTGGTGGTAACCCCCATGGCTTGACCAGGATCCCTCCAGCCCCTGCCGCCTGGGCTACTGGATCCCACTGAAGCTGGAATTGTGCAAGCACCCCAGCTACCGGCGGAGCACACCCAGTTTGCCAGGCTTGACCAAGGGCCCCCCTGGGAGGGAGCTCCAACACGGCCAGTCCCTGCGTCCATGGGCCTCAGCAGCTGGGAGTGGAATGGAGCCCGACCTGTGTGTGCCAGGAGGGAGCTGGAGCAGATTAAACCAAAGGTCCTTGGCTGAAATTGGGATCTACGTGTGGGCTGGGTACACCCAGCCCACCATGTTTGGCCCAGCGTACCCCTGGGAGAGAAACCAGGCAACCCAGGTTTCCAGTCCCTGGTTGAAGCTGGAACAGTGAGTGGGCTCCAACAGCCAGCGGCGGAAGGAGCCTCACCTGGATCCCCCAGGCAGGAGTCGAAGCAGCATACACTGCCAGACCCTGGCTGAAGTTGGGACCTGAGCTCCTGGGCTCCAACAGCCGGTGAAGCGAGCCCCGACTGTGTGTACCAGGCAGGAGATTGGCAGCTCAGGCCACTGGTACCTGGCCAAAGTTGGGAACTGCCAGCTGGCTCCAGAAACTGGTGGAATACATCCGGCCAACCAGATTTTGCCAAGAGTGCCTCTGGCAGGTCCTTGGCTGAAGTCAGGAACTGCCTAGCGGTTCCAGCAGGTGCCGGAACAAGCCTCACCTGTGTGTCCCAGGTGGGAGACTGAGCTGCCTAAGCCACCGTCGCTGAATGAAGTTAGAAACTGAGTGCATGCCTCAGCAGAGGGTGGAATGTGTCTGCCCATAGGAATCTACAAGAAGTAAGCCCTAAGTGGGTCAGACTAGCAGCTGTAGGTTGGTCCCTCCCCCCCAACAGAACGGAGACTGGGCAAAGTCCCTCTCAGCCGGCTCAGGGCTGAGAGCAGGCTTCAACAACCGACCCAGGAACCAACCCAGAGCCAAGCAAAGGCAGCCACCTATCAACCAAAACAGTCAGTTCAGGATTCGGCTCTGATAATCCCTAAATCATCATATGAAAGTCACAGTGAAAAATTACAAGATTCATCAACAGCCAAGACAGCAAACCATTCCCAAAGGCCGACAGCAAACTATCCCCAAAGGCCAACAGCCACCCAGGGAAGAACTGCAGTGAAAGCAAAAAAGAAATGGAAGACTAATGTTACATGCAAGAGTTGATCGAGGCAATGACCCAAGAATTAAAGGGAGAAATGGATCAGAAATCTAAAGAACAAAGAAATGAATTGTCAAGAGATCCAGAATATCAAAAAAGAGATGCACTCGAGAATAGATGCAGTATACACCTTGTTAAAAGATAAAATTAGGAGGCTGGGAAGGTGGCTCAGTGGTAGAGCGCTTGCCTTGCAAGCATGAGGCCCTGGGTTCGATGCCTCAGCACCACATAAGCAAAAAAAAAAAAAAAAAAAGCTGGAAGTGGCGCTGTGGCTCAAGTGGTAGAGCGCTAGCCTTGAGCTGAAGAGCTGAGGGACAGCGCCCAGGCTCAGAGTTCAGGCCCCATGACCGGACCCCCCCCCACAAAAAGATAAAATTAACACTTTGTGATCCGACATAGAAATCATAAATGTTTCAATTTCCTCCATGAAAACCACAATGGAATCCATAGTTAATAGAGTGAATGAAATAGAAAATAGAATATAAGGTACTGAAGACAGAATGTAGCAACTGGACAAAACGCACAAATATGGAAAAAACACTCAAAATATACCAAAGGGATGTCCAAAACAGGCAGAAAATGCCAAGATATTTAACCTTCATATAATTGGGGTTGACAAAAGTGAGGAATACCAGAACAGAGGGATGCAACACTTATTCAATAAGATTATCACTGAAAATTTCCTCAATCTTAAGAGTTGGTCTCACCTACATAACATCTAGCAAACAGGATCCCAGGAGGAAAACTTCTAGGCACATCATAGTAAAAATGCTGTATTTGAGTAACAAACAATCTTACATGTGGCAAAAACAAAGGAGCTATACTATAATGAAAAAAAAAATCATAATCACTGCAGATCTCTCCACAATACACTGAATGCAAGGAAAGCTTGGAAAAGTAACATCCAAGCCCTGAGAACCAATAACTGTCAACCCAGACTGGTATATCCAGCGAAGCTAGCATTCACATTCGACAGAGAAACTAGTAAAGAAAAACTAAATAAATTCATAAGCAATAATCCAGCACTACAAAAAATATTAAGAGGGGGAATACAATCTGAAGAAAACAAGAACAGGGATCTACATCAGAGAGATATCACTAGGAGACCAACTAAGTAAACATAGGAGGAAAGGAAAGAAGAAAAACTTAGAAAAGCAGGAAAATGACAGGAAACACAATGCACATCTCCATAAATTAATAAATATTAATGGATTCAATTCACCAATCAAAAGAAAAAGAACCAGATTGAATCAGAAAACAAGATCCAACCATTTGCTGTCTTTAAGAGACCCATCTTACAGCCAAAGATAAAAACAAACTGAGTGAAGGGATGGAGATCTACCATGCAAATGCTCACAGCAAGAAAGCAGGAGTTGCCATCCTGATATGACAAAATAAACTTTTCATTGAAATCAATACAAAAAGACAAAGGAGGACACTACACATTAATATAGGGAGCAATCCAAGAAGAGGATATCACCATTATCAATTTAAACTCTCCAAACATTGGAGCACCAAAATA